TACAATTCATTTAAATATTTTAACAACAATAATATTCCACTCCCAAAATAAAATATCTCGCGAGAACTAGAATATTTTTAAAAGACCGCTGTCAACCCCAAATAATAATAATAATAATAATTCCAGTACTTGAAAATTGCTTCGGCATGAAACCTGGAGTTGTGCAATTAGGATATTATATATATATATATATATATATATATATATATATATATATATATATATATTTAAATAAGTTTTTTGTGGTACAGAATTTAATAATAGATAGGAAAAGACAAAAATTTATAAGGCATTTTTAAAAAAAAAAAGCTAAAAAAAAACAATTGGTTTCGTCCCAGGATTTATCAAGTTTATTTTTTCTGGGAATAGATATTATATATATTTGTATATATATATATATATATATATATATATATATATATATATATATATATATATATAAGTAAGTTTTGTGTGGTACAGAATTTAGTAATAGATAGGAAAAGACAAAAATTTATAAGGCATTTTTAAAAGAAAAAGCTAAAAAAAAAAAACAATTGGTTTCGTCCCAGGACTTATCAAGTTTATTTTTCTGGGAATAGAAAATTTATAAAAGTGTGTAAATCAAATTAACGAATGATATGGGAAGAGGAAAAAAAATGAATTTCAAGAAACTATAGTCCAATAACATTCTGACCCAGGAAGCATTCTCTCTGTTTACAAAGGGGAGGCCCACGGGATCTGATATACAAGGACTCTAGAACCTTGAGGTGAAATGTGGAGTTGGACATAGATAAAATCAAAAAACGGTGCACACTAAAATTAACTACGCATTTACTACTATTTATTATATGCTCAGCAATCGCAGAGCCAAATTTATTGGTGAGTTGGCTCTTCCTGGCAGACGGATTCAAAATTCTGGTGGGTAAATGTTTTATTCTCGAATCCAAACACTGGGATGTCCTCCTTATGTAGTCGAGTCCACAACTACGCTTATATTGGTAAATCACTGAATTAACACACACACACACACACACACACACACACACACACACACACACACACACACACATATATATATATATATATATATATATATAAATTATATATATATATAAATGTAAAAGACAATAGGAAATAGTTAATAGTTGCCGACGCGTTTCGTCCGATGTGGACTTTCTCAAGGCAAAACGTGAGAGTAATGATGTAATTTTAGTTAACAGTATGAAAATAGTGTTCTCTAAATTCTTCCAGTTGTTAAGGACATTTTGTTTTTTGTTATTATTAGTTACTTTGTTTAATAAATTAATTTCATTTTGCCTTGAGAAAGTCCCAATCCGACGAAATGTGTCGGCAACTATTAGTCTTCCTAGTGTCTTTTACATTTATAAATATTGTCTTTTTTACAGGTTAACTCTGAGAAATTTTTCATATATATATATATATATATATATATATATATATATATATATATATATGAATGTGCGTTTGTAAACAGTGACTATTACGGCTGATACTGCAAGACTCTTCGGTAAAGCGAATCGAGTTCTCTCGGTCACTGTGTTTATCTAAAAATAAATGCGCTTAAATTCACCTTCATTCCTGCCGTACGCTAAGTGATAGAATCCCCCGACAGACAGCAATTTAGATGGGTTTCGATCCTAGCTAGAGGCAACCGAACGTCTAGCCACACTGATGAGCTGTGATGCAGCGAAACAGTCTGTCTGTGGATGACAAAATATATGTATATATATTAAAACGTTCTGTTATTGTACTTTGAGCACTGTTTTTTCTTACGCTATGGTATTTATATGTATTTGCATACGATCGCTTGCATAGTATGCCTATCTATATATACACAGTGAATTTTACACACACACACACACACATATATATATATATATATATATTTTGATTTCAATTATGAATATGCTATTAAAACACGTAAATTTCAGAAATAAGTTATTCCAAAAAAAATTTCGCTTGAAGATGGAACAGAGCTTACTTTAATTCAATTTAATTTAAATAATTATATTGAAGTTTTCGGCTCTGGTTTTGAAACATGAGACCTCTTATGTAGCGTGTTGGAATCATATTTTTAAATAAATAACTATATTTATGGTCTACTTTTGTATCGAGCACTATTTTTTTAAAATAATAACAAAAATACTAAAGAACTTTGGATTATTACCTAACCAGTTCTTTCCTATTTTCTATATATTTTCACACACACACACACACACACACACACACACACACACACACACACACACACACACACACACACACACACACACATATATATATATATATAAGTTAAAAATCTGACCTATCGGGGGACATTTAAGCTGGCTCTTATATATATATATATATATATATATAAATATTCCGATTTCTTTTTGAATTTTTAGGTCTGATGAATTGGATCTTGATTACGATTCCAATGTAATAAATTATAACCATAACCATGGAATATTAGAGTTTGATCCTTATATATATATATATATATATATATATATATATATATATAGCCTGACGTGCTTTACCGATTTAGCCACAGAGGAGCGTTTCGGTTAGCAAAGTCGATTTTACTGTTTTAAAGCAGATATGAATGTACGAGAGAAAATCATGGAGAATTGTAGTTGAATAAACAGTAAAATCGACCTTGCTAACCGATATATATATATATATATATATATATATATATATATATATATATATATATATATATATATATATATATGTTCGAGTGGTTAAAACGTTCGTATACTGACCATGAGACCTTGGTTCGAATGTCATCATGATCGATTTGTTAGGAAGGAGACTTGCTGATGTTATCGGACTGGATCGAGTTCGATCCCAGCATGCGGCACCTTTGGAAAGTGTCTGAAAACCGTACCACGGGTTGACCCAAGTCTTGTGAGTGAAATTGGGTTGATCGAACTCTTGTAGGCCGTAGATATCTGTTCTAGCACGAAGTCACAAGTCATCGTGACCGAGGATATGAGCGTGCTGCCTTTGTTCAAATTATTGATCACGCGAGATAACACATTCTCTCCCTGAAACTGTAACTAAGGTCTGCTCAGCATAGTTGCAGTATAAACCACAGGTTAGCTCTATGGGTATTGAATAAACATAAATGCGCTTGAGCAAGTGTCTGCAATAGGGATTGGTTGGCCACCCTAATAGACGGGTATCCTCGAATACGGATAGCCCTATATATATATATATATATATATATATATATATATATATATATATATATATATAGAGAGAGAGAGAGAGAGAGAGATAGAGATAGAGAGATAGAGAGATTAGTTAATAAAATATGGACAAGCGAAAGGGTACCAATATAATCAGTAAGATAAACATTTATTAAATATTAATTATTAACCATATGACAGAAATGAAGCACAGAGGGAAAGGTTTAAAGTTCGGAATTTTCGGACACGCCTGTGTCCTTCATCAATGGACCAAAGAATAAATAGAGAAATGTGGATTACTCACTGACAGATGTTTTTGTAGATGGTGTATTTTCTGGTAGAAAACGTATTGTTACCAAAAACCCGATAACTGTCTGATTCCGCGATGTGCGAAACTTTTTTATGAAAATAAACTTAAATTTAAAATTTTGATCGGTGTAAAAGCTTCAGGCAGTTCTATTATATATATATATATATATATATATATATATATATATATATATATATATATATATATATATATATATATAAATGAGAGAAAGAACAAATGGAGTAAAAATCCACAGTTCGTAGCATTTTTTTGACAGAACTTTTATATTATACTTCTCTCTCTCTCTCTCTTTCTCTCTCTAAATATATATATATATATATGTTAAGAAAGGGTTCAGTTCGACATTCCAACCACCTGAAGAGGGCCGGAGCGTACAACGGCCGAAACGTTGTGATAAATATGGCGACAAAGATGAGGACAATAGTCCGAATAATGTAAATAATGTACATAATACCTCATCTCAGAAATATAGACAGACTCAAAAACGCATCTAAAACAGTCAAACATCAGGAGAAATATTGACATTAGCGAGAGGCTTGCAACTTTGCGTCTGAGGGGAAAGGGGCTGCAGAGTGGGAAATAAATCTTCAATAATACGACTGCGCAGTGACAGTATTTTAAATGGCTACTCCATCGCGATTTTCATAGCAAATGCCCAGATCAGCTCTATGCTTTCGTTCCACAAGTTGAGAACTTTACAGCCAAGACATGGCAAGCCACTTGTACAAAATCGAATCAGTCAGCGCGTTCTTAACGTAAGGAGAACGGCGTTCCACTCAGACAGATTTTTGCCAATGACGGTTACATTGAGGACGCAGACGCGTTCGGAAATGCTTCCCTGCAATCATAAGCGACTCAAGTCAAGGGGTAAGTCGTTGTCTATCCTCCTTATCGACACAATCACCTAGCTTCTTTTCCCAAGTCATTTAAGATTCCGTAAGGAAATCTTTTTTTAGATTCTATATATTTCTTAGTCATTGCCGAAGCACTTCGGCAATGGCTAAGAAATATATTTTTCAACTGTCTTCTTTTTATCCTATCTATCTCAGTCTGTTCATATCTATCTATCTATCTATCTATCTATCTATCTATCTATCTATCTATCTTAGTATGTTTCTATCGATGTCAGTCTTTTCATTATCTATCTATCTATCTATCTATCTATCTAGTTTATAGGTTTATATGTATTTTAGTATGTTTCTATCTCAGTATTCTCATTATCTATCTATCTATCTATCTATCTATCTATCTATCTATCTATCTATCTATCTATCACAGTCTGCTCATATCTATCTATCTATCTATCTATCTATCTATCTATCTATATATATATATCTATTGATCGATCTCTCTCCCTTCCTCTATCTATCTATCTATCTATCTATCTATCTATCTATCTATCTATCACATAGAAAGCTATCTTATCTATAGAAAGCTATAAACAAACTGAGATAGATAATAGTTTATAGGTTTATATCTATTTTAGT